GTGAGAATGATGCATTAGAGTCATGGCTCGAAAAATTTTCAGTTTATAGCGCCATGTCTGAGAGAAGGAGAAAAAAGACTTTTTGGTGAAAGTGTGAAAAAAAAATTAGGGAAAATTTAGAAGGAATTTTTAAAGAGGAAATATGCAAATCTATAATGTTCAAATAAATATATAAATACGTGTATTATCCTCTGTTTTATTTTACTTAAATAGAAACACGCTATATAAATTGAATAAACACCAATTTCAATCAAACGATAACTCTTGCCACAACGATGAGCGAACAAATGACTGACCGAAACTCGATAATGTGCAGTTTGAAAAAAAAATGCAGTTGGAAGAAATGATCGTCACGTTGCGTGGGACATACACGTTATTAAGATATCGATACATACATGATTTTACAACAAATTTTCAAAAAATTCTTCAGTTTACAATGAAAAATCTAAATGATTTGAACGGAAAATTCAGTGTAGAGCGTATACGCCCCATGGAACGTATTAATTAGCGTCGTACGACCATCGTCGCTGTAATAGTTGTCATCGTCAGTTGCCAAATAGCCGATGACGTAGTAACAATGTCTATAAAATATCGTACTTAAAATTCAACGTCTAACATTATACGAAGATTTTATTTGATAATTTTGTTTCATGACTAATTCTACAATAGATTTGAAGATTGTAGCCTCTTTTTTATAACGACTCCGAAAAATTTGATATATGATCTTTTTTCGCTGATTTATTCAACTTTGAACATTAGACTTAATGACGACGAAAATTCAAAAAATCGTAATAATTCTGTCGTTGTATTTCTTTTCGCCTGATATTCAAAGTTCAATGAATTAACGAAAAAAGATCCTAAGCAAGCGTTGAAGAATCGTTGTAGCTCTAGTCTTCAAATTCGTTGTACATTCAGTCATGAAAAAAATTTTTTTAATGTTTTATGACAATTTATAGCATCTTGGAAAAAAAGTCTTCATTTTACTATCTATTAGTGTAAAATAGTAAAAAAACATCTTATAATAACGGAATAAAACGAACGGTGTACTTTGAAAGTAAGTGGCTTCAAATTTTAAAATGAGTCTAACAATAAGTTTATTATTGTACAATTTCTGTTTACAAAGTTATAACAATTTAAATATTTAGTATCTGAACATTTAAATTAATTAATTTGCTCTTAGAACAAATTAAATACTTACTTAGTAATAATTAAATGCTAGTGAAACTCATTATTAATTCATTCTTGGAAAATGGAGGAATATCGAATTGCACGAACATAAAATTATTTTATTAATCATTATACAGAAATATTTTCTATAAAAATTAGCGGAAAAGAAAATAATTCTTTCTTAGCCTTTGAGTTTTCTCAGCTTAAATTGATAAGCAAATATTAATTTTATTGAGAAACCATCACGGTAAAAAAGTGAATAAGAAAAAAAGGTTATTGTTTCGAATCTATGCTTTATACTTGTAATGCGAAATCATAGTGATTTTTGGAAACTTTTCCAAGATTGTGATAAGTTCTAAAGAATCGCATGTGTCAAATCGACCACAGATAAAGTATACGTGTAAGTAGAAACAAAAATTTCTATTGGTATCGCTACAATTGAATAAGAAATAAATGACTATAATATTCGCATAGGTGATACAAATCTAGCATGACTATGCAATAAGAAATTTTTAATGACCAATATTAAATTATTGAATGAATCTGAAAGTGTTTCCTTGCCGAAAAAATGTGATCAATATTGAATTTAAA